ATGGATTAAAATAATACATTACCAATATGCTGACACATGGAGATATTTTAATTAGAAATACTTAAGCTGCGTGATATTTAACTGCTATATTTGTTGAAGAGGAGCATGCATCATTTAATAAGACATAAGGCAGGTACATCACTTTGCATGATGTGGTACCAGAGTAAGACCAAATCACCTCCAGTGTGAGCTATCACTATCAGATCACATTAGTCCCACTAAAAAATTGCTTTAAGGTTACAACATATAGAGGAAACCCCATAAGAGCAGCAGTCCACTAAAACAACTTTTTCATTGAAATAATAAGTCACCAAGATTCTAGTTCCCGAGAATAATATTTCTTCATAAAAGGCCACATTTAACATCTTAGCTATTTAAAGGCCATATTTACATGACTGTCACATTACATTGGCCTCTTTCCTGCACATTCTTCTTGACTTACTTTAAGGACCAGCACTAAAATAGCTGAGGAAAGCAAATGTCAACTACGTCCTGAAATTTATATGTGTGAGAGAATTGGAATAAGTAGAAATGTAATATATTGTTTACTGTACCGAGTGCCCTCTGGTCTCTAAAGGTCAAAAGCATTGTAACCTTAGAGTTACAGTTTCTGATTGTTCCCAGGGTTAAATACATTATCAAAATTAATGGTTCAAACCCCTCAACCTTCAGATATATGAGTATTCATGCCTCCATCTGCTGAACTGTTCAGCTAAAAATAGCATTCTTTGGCCTTCCCTCAACTAATATTGTGCCCCTGAGGCAGGCTGTGCAATGCTTCAGCAGAGCACTGGATCCGCACCCAGCAGTATAAAAAAAGGTCATTTACCTTGTCTGCAATTAGAAGAGAGTATGGAGGAGTAGGATGAGATGGGAGGGGAGAAAAGAAATAGACAAATATGTGTTTAGTTAAAATTTAAATTTGATTTTAACGGATTATAAAAACTTCAGGCTTCAAAAACACAGCTGCAACTATAGTTAAGACCTGCCAAGGTTCATTAGTGTTATAAGCAATAAATTTTGAAGGACAAATTACACAAATAGTTTGGGGAAAGAGTCATGAGCAAAATCTTTTTTGTTTTACTTTTTTTCCTAAAGCTCACTTTGTTTGGCAATAACTCAGCTAGCATCATTGTAGTGCTTCCATTTCTATCAACAGTTTATCGGTCGTGGTTGAGAGAGTTGCAACATTTCCTTATTTACTGCACAGACTGCTTTGTAGAAATATCTAAGAATGAAGGCAGATTTTTTTAAACAATAAAGAGCATATAGTAACATTCCTGGTTTGAAGGTAAGGACATATAGGTGCCACCTCTGCCACCACTCAGTTACTAGGTTACTACTACCAGCACCATGAGAGCTGGGAAAGCCCATTTCAGGATCAAGTTCAGTCATTTAGCAAGATTACTGGGCACACATACCTAGAATCAGTTATCAGTACAATCATTTGACAGCTAGGGACAAAATTCAGGGAAATGGGAAAGGGAAGAAACTCCAGAAAAGGTGGATATAAAAAAGAGGAGCAAAGGGAAAATTATTGACAACTTTTACTGCTCACACTGATTAATTAAAGCAACACACTTTTGTTACAAGCATGCATCAGAACTGGTTCCCACACCACTATGCATACTTGCTACAGGTGTATTTGGTAATATATCTGTAAACTAGTTAGCAGGAGGATGATTTGACAGGATTCATTCATAGATGTTTGAAGCTGGAGGGGGTGAACAGAAATAGCTTGGTCCTTCTTCTTAGGCCATACCTAGAGAACTGTTCCCTCATCAGCAAGACCCTCCCTCATGCCGGGAGTCCTAACAAGGCATGATCCTATCACACGCATTTAAATCTTGGCCAAGTTTTTGAGGAAACTGTCGAAAAGGTGCTGAGCTGCTATCAGATAATGGGAAGTGTGAAACACAGAGTTTTAAGTCTTTTTGTCAACAACATCATCAATGGCACCCACCCTCATGAGATCGGTATACAGATAAAAATAAGCTACCTGATGTCAACCCAAAGCAGAGTAAGTCACAACTTCAGGAACACAGACTGGCATAACTGTGTGGTAGTTACTACTTTCTTTCAGGATACGCAAAGCTACAACTGAATATTAACAGTATTTTATCACCAGCTGATTAATGTGATGCAAAATCTTTAGACTAGATGGGTCAAGCAGGTCTGTTGCTGAAGGAGAAGTTACCTTATTTTATTTTACCTTTTTCAATGCAAGATCCATGAGAGTGAAACTAGCTGCTTGAGAAAAACCCAGACATGATTTCCAATAAAGTTTTTAAACTCATGGATGTACATAATCCACTGGTGAACACAGATATACAATTCAGAGAAAATACATTTTGATACCAACGTGCTAAATTGCTTGAACAAGATGGGCAAATCATTAATTACAAATTGCCCACTGGAGAAACATACTCTGGAATAATTGCTATCGTTACATGATGTACCTGGGAGTAAATTGTCTTCTGTGCTATTAGATTCAGAGCTTCTACAGAAGTTGTCCTAACACACAGAAAGTCAAGAGCACAAGATTTCTGCTAGATCCTACCTGAAGCGTGGTCAAAAACACATAAGTGAAAAAAGAGGAGAGATTATAAACTTGAAGCTGACAGAATTTCCACTGCAACTGGATATGGGTTATGGAATATAATTTTGGAACTAATAGAAATGCTCTGGTAAAGTTGAAATGTCAGAGTTACTGCAAAGCTTTTTTAATTGAAATAGCTTTCCTTCCCCAGGTTCTCCAAACATAGTTATCACACACACACTCACATGTAGAAACAAAACCAAACCTGCAAAAGAATTAGCTATTTCTCCCACTGGCTGAAAGGAACAGAGATTAGTTTTGTGATCAGTATTTTTAAGCACTTGAGAAATACTCAGATACCATGGTCACAGCAATCATGTAAATAAATAAGTGGGTGGGGTGCATGGAAGAAAGGAAGCAAAAAAGAGAAAGAAGGGGGAAGGGAAGCAAAGATGGAAAAATGAGATGAAATGTTACGCCCCTAACAGACTTCATGACGCATCAGGTATAACAACAAATTCCCTCCAAGAAACACGCCCAACTAAGTGTTCATTTAGGAACACTTAGAGAATTTACACAAAGAGAATATTAATAGTAGGAATAAATAATATTTAGTTCAGCTTATTTGACAATCAGATGAGCAGGTATCAGCTGAAGGTTAAGTACTCTATTAATAAATCTCTTAGGACCATGAAACATTAAAGGTTTTGAAATCCCTAAAAGGTAAAATTAAAATAAAATAGAAAGGGGGGTGAACAAACAAAAAAAACTCTTTTACAACAAATACACTTGAAGGGAAATTCTGGCCCCACAAGCACTCAAATGTTTCTGAATTTATTAGCACCACTTTCTTTGCTGGTTGTTTTCTTTTCTCTCTAATTGTGCTCATCATGTTTAACAGCTCAGTCTATCATGTCTGCAAATTAATGAAATTGCACTATTGCTGTAGGTTCTGATCACAGCTGATGTGCAAATAGATCTGTGGGTCAAGCTACAAATGGATCTTGTGAAAGAAAAGAGCTGGGAATATCTGTGGTCTAGATACTGCTTCTGTTGCAGTTGAACAGTTTTTATCCCCTTCTGCCTTAGTCTCATGTAGCCTCACTATTTGTTGTGCTGCATTTCAAAGGTAGCAAAAGTAGTCTCTCTATTCACAAAGATGATTTCTGAAGTTTTTCTCAACTAAAACTAATGAGACTTTGGCTTCAACAAGTGTTCAAATACAGATTTTCAAAGGAAACCTGCTATTTTTCCTTTTGAAAAACTCCCCTTTGGTTTGCAGCCTATCCAAAGTACGGACTTAACATAATACTATCATGATCCAAAAGTATTTTTGGAAGTTCTTTCCCTGCAGTGTCAGGGTGTTCTCTTTTCAAGTTTTGATTAAGGGTTAAGTCAGACATAAGCTCAAGGGGTCTTTTTCACCGGTTCTGAATCATCAGTGAACAGTGAGTTCTGGTCCCATTCTCACTTATCCTAAGTTATCTTGACAAGAAGAATATCAGCATTGGGTAAAGATGAGAGGATTTTTAATTTGCTTTGGTCCCTCTGGAAATTTATATAATTGCAGAAGGGTAAGCAAAGTAGGTATTTGGATATTAACATGGCAGTACTTTGCTACTCTAGGCACAATTTATTCCTACTTTTCATCTGAACCCAACTCTAACCTAACTCAAACAGGGGTTTCAAAGGTTTACTTGCAAACAGTTACATGCATCTTTAATGGCCTTTCCTCTCATGTTTACTGTCACTTCCTTTCCACACATTTTAACTCTGAAAGCTTTTGACTGTTTCTTCATTATTTATGACATTGTTGTGTCTTTTCTTGTGAAATTAAAAACTTCTTGCCACAAAAAGCTAGCTAATAATATGGCACATAAATCTTTCTTTCACAACATTTCATTCTATATATGCCAAAAATAAATAAATGACCAAACCAGGGCTTCTGACCATGCTTGGCATCTGACCAGCTTAATGCATGGAAAGGTTGAGATTACCTAAATACAGAAGCTAAAAGAGTTTGCAATTTATTGTAATGTCAGCACCACACCATCTGAAAAAAAAAAAAAAAACAAAAAAAAACAAACAGCAACACACATTTCTTTTGATACACTCACTGCTCCAATTAAAGGTAGTGCATTGCAGTACAGGGGAAAGAATAAATGAAAATAAAGTACAAAAAGATCTTTGAACATATCTCCCATCAACTGGTCATATAATTAAAAAAAATACCATTAACTCTGCCGATATAAAACACACAGAACAATGTCTTTCACTCACAGTATCAAGGTGGGACGCATGTTGCTATATTTGCAGTACCGTAAGTACATAAGGTGTTAATCCTCCTGGGCTGTGCTCAAAAATTATTTAACATTCAGACTATTATTTAGCATACAGCTGGTTAGCAGTTTTCCCCTAAAATGTTGGCTTGAATCCCACATTTTTTTGTTCTGGCACATACCTGGAGCTGTAAAGGGCTGAGTCCAGAAGCAGCAGCAGCTGCCATTGTTGATGGAATGAACTGCACAGGGTAGTTATCACCTGTCGGGAGAACAATGCGTGCAGGTTCAGACAATGAGCAGAGAATAGCAGCAGACAAGTGCAAACATGGACCTAGGATTGCCTGTGCTCCACAGCACTCCTCTAAGCCTAAACATCTGCAAAAACAAAAGGCTTCGCTGGGCACGGACTTGCCATGCTCCCTTGGAACTTTTTTGTTAGTAGATAGCTGGTAGGCAAACTGGCAAAACATAAATGTGATACTCGTGATTTTCATTTTCAAAAGCAAATGTTCAAATCAAGCGCATAAGCTTGGGCACAGAATGGGCCTTAAGGCCATAGACAGACAAACAAGATACCCCAGGAAACCCCAGTGGTTCCCAGAGGAAAAAAATTGTTGTCTCCACATGTTTCTTAAAACAGGAGACATTTTTTATAATCCAAGAAATTTCAGCCCTGTTTAATGCAGGGTGATTTCTTTTCAGTATCAAGTGGCTCTTTCCCAGGAAAGCTACCTAGTTGGCATAACACAGGTTGAGGTTGTTTCTTGTTTTGCTTTGAGGCTCTCTGTCTTGAGACAACTCTTTTAAGGTAGTCATAGGAAAAAAAAAAAAATCACTTTTACAAATAGCTCAAAGTATAATTTTAACTCTCTCTTAGATCTGGGACTCTACTGAAGTTGATAGATTACATAGCTGTTCACTTACATGAAGATTTAGGCACTAAAATTTCTGTGTTCTGCTCCCTGGAAACAGAAAATGTCCTCTCTGCATTGAAGGGACAACAAATACTCCAAAAAATAAGGGATACTATTGAACCCAAATAAGCATTGCAACATTCTATCTTATAGCATCTATGGGTGTTCCCACTTCTGAGCCACTTCAACAGTGCATCACACAGTGCTGTTGAGACTCTTAGTCAATGTAACAATGAAGGCAGGCTGATATAGTTTAGCAGTGTAATCTGTAATGTAAAAATTAGTACACTGATGGATAAATTACACCGTAACTATGATTCAGTGGCCTATCACTTCGGCTCAAACTTCTTATTTAATGTCAGTGTTAGGTACTATCTGTAGGCTACATTTTAACAGGCTGCTCCTCTGTACATTTTTGAGATTTACAATACTCAGTCTGTTTTACATGAACTTTTCCACTCTGAAATCAGAATGTATCAATAAGGGAAGATACAGAAATCCAAAATAATATAATCAGGGCATTCCAAGAGTTAGATTTTCTTGTCAACCCCCTCAAATAAATAATGATAGCTCAAGTCTTTTCAGTCACTGGATTCCTCAGAACTCTCCCTTTTTACCACCTGAAGTGCTATTGTATTCAGCTCAGTTTAAATGTTCAGTTGTTTCACTTTTTTAATAAATTGTACATGTCTAATCCACAAGGTCTCTTTGCATCATATCCATAATACCTCATCAGACCACTGAGCACAGTATGCGCTTGTACACAGTCCAGTAACAATTGGATTCTGATTGCACATAGAGCTCTGCTACAATGCATTCACTAACACTATCTTGTACTGGTGTCCTATGGAGTAATGTTCAAAATATCTCCTCTTATTTTCCCCCTTCCATGAGGTTGATTTTAGTTTTCAATGATGTTGGGGTTTTTTTCTTTAAAAAAAGCAACAAAAAAACCCCAGAACCTTAAAGTACTAAAGTTGTCTCTTTATGGCTAAATAATTCTACTCATCTTTTTGATATTTATATGAAATTATCTGAATAAATAAGATCCTAAACTAAGTTAAATAATGTTTGTTTCAGAAATATATTACAAGGTTTAAAAAAAAAAAAAAATAAATCACAAAGATGTTGAATTAATGATGCTTTAAATGGGGGGAAAAATAACCATCCAAGTTATCAGCATGGACTGCCTTGCAGAACATTTTGGAGGCATTCTTTCTTTAAATATCATGAATTATTCATTCCTGTTCCACACAGCAATCTCTTCTTCCTCCCTCCCCCTCCACATACACTTTTTAAGTTCAATACCAGTTGCTTTATTTGTACTAAAACATTTTCCATGTCAAACATATTTTTTAAAAAAATCAAACTCTAAAAGAAATCCCTGCGGCACTCCTTTTTCACAGCTGTCATGCTCCTATGGTTTGAAATAGCCGGATATTTTATACACACACACGTGCGCGCGTGCACACACACACAAACAGAATTTTTGGCTTCACAGCTAATTTACTAGTATCTCTACCACACCCTGTTGCATTCTCTTGCTCACCTGCTGGCTACAGTTCTTTCCTTTGTTACGGGAAAAATCATTGTGTAGTTATGTCATTTATTTGTTAATAAAACATAATACTGTCCCTTTCCCCCTTCATTTTAACATGGTATGTTAGCAGCATCTTTGTGCTGAGAACAAAAATTAATACTTTTTCAGCTCTGGAGTACTTTGCTGACAACAGGCAGTAAAAGCAGAGCAAAGGTACATTTTTCTCCCTTCAGGAAACTGAGCATGCAGGGAATGGACTGGGTTTAATTTTTAATTACAGAAGGTACATATTTCCCCGTCTCATTTTGTCAGTGCAAGAATGGATCAAGACATTTCTCAGGAGCTGTCTTGGAAAGAAATCAGTCAATGTATTGTAGCAATTTTTTTCAAATTCGTTTCTCAATTTGGAATGCTTGCATGAGGATCCATTCTTTTAAATTTGTACAAAAGGCAGCAGAACATGTTCAAACAGGCCTGCTTTAGGTACCGGTGTGTGCTGGCCTTTGATAACCAGGAGTGAGAAGAATGCCGGAAGAAGAAAATCTGTCATGTTTTGCAAACTGATATCTTCAATCTCCTTGCTGTGCTGATTGTCTATTTACATTTGGCTGCTGTTGTTTATATATAAATTGGTGTTTACAAGCAATGGAAAAGTATGCCAGACTTCTGTTTCATTTGTCAGGTTGAGCAACATTTCCAAATGAATAAAAGCAGCGAGCAATTGTGCCATGCTATTCTACACAGAAATAATATAAATGTTTCTTTTTGTCTTGGATGAAGTGAGGAAGCTTAGTGGACTTTATTTACAAGATGTACGGACTTACTTTCCAGATCAAGTCCTTGTGAGCTGTGAGGAAAGAAGGATGCCTGGCTCTTGAGAGACTCAGGATACGGGGAAGGTGTTACTACTAAAACACAAAGTCATCTGACTCACAAAGCTTTCTGTTTGATGATAGTTTCTCCCCATTTTGGGATTGTAACCTAAAATCAGTCTCTTCATGCATGGGTCTCAAACTGCCATTTGCACACTCTCCAGGTGGAATCACAGAATAACAGGAAATGGAGTTGGAAGAGATGTGAGAGATCGCAAATTCCAGGGCTCTACTCTCCAAGGCGTAAATGAACAGACCGAGGATAGCGTACCTCTCCTCGGGGTCTTGTCAGGATACAGCAAGGATACAGATGCCCACTCCTGCAGCATTACCACACAGGGCATGTATTTTGTTTGTGCAGCAGCATCGGGAACGAGGAAGAGGTTAATAGAGGTAACTGGCTAAAGCAGTACTACAAAGCATCTCCTCTGTCTGATGACTCTATCTCAGTTCTGCCTTTGTTCCGAGCAGGGTTTGCCACAGCACTGCCTTATTGCCATCCTCATGTCACAGCAAAATCAGTTGCTCCAACAATTGTCTATCTGCAGGTAAAGAACTTAAATGAAAAATCTCAGCTGAAAATATTCAGCTTCCTACAACCACTTCCAGCTCTTACCTCAGCATTTAGGAGTGAGGCACATATGGATTGCTGCAAGAAATCCTGAGGTTACAGATTCCTTGTTCCAACCAGTAAAACCCAACAGGGAACACATGACAAACTTTAACTCAGGCCTGGGGAATTTCTATTAGAAACAAGGCTCATGCAGCACCTCTGCCATGCAGATACACAGCCAACTCAGTGCACAGTTGATTTGGTGTACGCTTTCTCTTCTCACCTGTCAAGAGGAACAGCAGCCTACTGAAAATAGAGTGTGTGCTATGTAAAATTTAAACCACCTTACAGCTTTAGGAAAAACTTCTGAAAGGCCTGTTCCAAATGGAAACTGCAGTGATGGATATCAGTGAAATCCAGATCATCTAAGGTGGTGTTAGTTATGTGGATTAACGACTGTAATCAAGGAGATTAATTAGTTTGATGACAAATATCTCACAGTATTGGAATGTTTTGAGGTCCAGCCGGATGACAATAAGCCTAACAGTTTTGTCATGCTTTACCTAATTTTACTTTCATTGGTTTCAAAGGAGTTACTGTTGATTTGCCCCAATGCAAGTAGGAACAGAACCATGCCAAAATGTTGGCTCCATTTCTCACTATTTTGCCACCAGCCTAGGAAAACAGTCTCTTTTCACATTTCATTGTATTGCAATCATAGAAAAATCTCTTGTAAATTATTTTTGTGTATAAAGCAGAATGACCTAGGTAGGCAAACAGGAGTTGTTTCTTAGCCATTCTCATCATGGCCTTTATATATTTTATGTATGAAAGATGAAGAAGGGCTTTGAAAATACACTGCAGCATATCACCCTACAAACCCTTCTAATTAGAGGTTTACAATCTCCACACCTCAATGTCTCTATTTTCAATAATCTTTTTCAGAGACACTTTCCATATCTTGTAAATAACTGATATAATACAAAATATTTGAAGAAGACTATTAAGAAAAATTGATCATTCATTTACGAGTCCCATGGACTGCCGTCATGCAGCCAGCATGGAGGGTGGCCCTCCCACTCTCTGCTCAGAGCAAACTGTAGCTCTGTTTGAGCTCTGCTCAAAGCATGGCCTGGCTCCTGCCCAGCGTTACTCTATATCCTTACTCTGTCATCATCCTACTTCCCCATTCCCTCTTAGCCACAAAACTTGAAAGAAGTTATACTTTAGGCACTGTAAGAAGGGGAAGGGAACTGCATTTCTCCTTATCTCTCTCCCCGTCTTCTCTTCTTGACCCAGGGCACTAATGAGGACACACTAATCACATTCAAGGATACTCCAGCCCACTAACTTTTCCTGGATGCATGTGGTTGGTTAAGTGAAGGGAAATTTGCACTGGGAGAGGAGGTATAATGATATTTATGTTACCCTCCAGTTCCAAGTAGTGAGTATAGTGGTCACAGTCAGAAAGCCAGCACAGTTGCTTTGCTGTACTTGGAATGCAAAATCATTATATTAACTGTGTAGCATCTCTGGGCAAGTATTAGCTTCCTAACAGCTGCCATTCTCAGCCTCCCACTGGAATAAGTGGCAACCCCCACAACCAGGTACTCTACGAGGCTTGTCAAGCGCCTGCAGGTCAATAGTCACAACAGTCATTTGAGATGCACAGCGCCCTAAAGTTTTAATTAATCCAGTATACAGTATAAATACTGAAATATGTATAAAAAATTAATTAGGTGGTCTATGCAGCTCTGATTTCTCAATTAGTACTTACCATGCCGGAAAATTATATTACATGACTTTCAGATACATAAGGAAGCATGGGACTTTGGGGATATTTTTCTAATGTAATTATTACTTGTCATCAGTACTTGCTAACTTTGGCCTGTTTCACCTCCTAGAGCTCCAAAATACAGGGGGAGGGTTACAGCCACCTCATGTTCTGGATCCTGCCAGGCAATAGGAAACTCTCTCCTGCCAGGCTTTAATACAAAACATATCTGTATATCAGCAATCTATCAAGTTTCTTTTCTATTCATAACTTTCTGAGCTCAGGAGTTCAGGAGCAACTAACTGTCCATGTGCTGGAAGGGACTCAGAGTCTTCTAAATTCTCCTCTCTTCCAGAGGTCCTTCCATCGAAGGCATAACCTAGCGTACTTTGTTTTAGGAATACCATTTTATTACTTCAAAGCACAGACTTTAAGCGCAGATCTGCAACAGTGCCTGGTAATTACCATCTTGGAATTGAAATAAACAGCCATGAAACTGGTTCCCACTTAGCTCATGAAGATACATCTGCATGGACACGTGCACATGGTCGTACCTCAGCTTGTGCACCAAGGCAGGACTTCTCATCTTGGCTGCATTGTCACACTAACACTGATATGCCACTTCCAAGTCAGAGTTGGCTTATATCTAGCTCATTTTGTGGGCATAGCAAATTAAGTGACACAATATTTGACATTCCATAAATGACACAATCAGTTTCAAAAGGACTCAGTTCCAACACCTCCTATTGTTGAAATCCCACTCACAATTTTTTTCTGAATGTCAAGGAAAACTGACACTGTCAAAACTTAGTCTTGCCTACATCTAACTAGAGTAATATGAAACAGAAAATAAACAGGGAACCAAAAAGAAAATTATAAGTGTCTGAAGGGTTAATCCATCTCCTATCTTGCCTCAGAAATATGAGTGAGTCTAAACTGACAGTTCTAGAGGTGAAAGTTTAATTTTTCACAAAAGTAGAAGAGTACAGGTAGTAGCAGTCAAGTTCATAAATATTCCTCAGAAATGACTTTGAAGAACCCTCTCTATGAAAGAGTGTAGCTTAATCTCCAGTTTCATTAATTCCTTAACTACTGTGCTGAGTGCCAAAAATAGGAATTAATCAATACCAAGTGTAGTTACAGTGGGTTTTTTATCATGATGTCTCTCCAACAAAAACTAGTAACCTGCCCAGCTACCTTTGCCACACATGCTGTAGAATTTAATAAATATATTAAATATATAAATATTCTTATTTCTTGCAAGCCATTAGGTTGCAAGAAGCCAAACAGATCATTGTGACTTCTGGACCTTACTAGCATCAGCTGGATATAAACCACCAACATACTAGTAAACACCTTACCTGTATTCTGAGATACCCAGGCCTTGATTTCTGTCTGCACTTCAATCTTTTTAACATTTGTTATAGATCTCTTTTTCTGCATTCCAGTGAGTAAAAAAACTGCCCTGAAAAGCTGTATCACCTTCCAATATGAGGTCAATAGGTCACAGGTAAAGCAGTATAAACTCAATAAAATGTTAGGATAGGTACTGTAAGGAACACTTTAGAATAAGTGCAGAAATCTGTTCTTATGCAGGAAATCATGCTGGTACTCTTCTTCCTGAGTCATTATTGTACAAAGTAGCCTACAGAGCCAAAATCAACATGATGTGATTTGACATACCACCTTTCAGGGGGAAGCACAACCAACAGCTTATTCATTATTAGTCACTATTCAAAAAGCCTCTCAGATTAAAATGGGAAAGCAAGGAAACTAAAGCACATGCTTTCTCTTGTCTGTGAGAAAGAAGGTATTACCCAGGGTGTCATAGACAATTTCCACAACTGGGAAGTCTTACGTCTTTGGAGACAAAATATTCTTCACTTCGGTCCCCAACCACTGTGAGGTGGTGATGTGTGTGAATGACCACCATCCTGTGCCATCTAGAGCTAGCTGCTTTTCAGAGCTCCATTAACTGGTTCCAGCATACAGTGCACCAGTTTGTCAAATTGGAGAAGAACTTTGGGATTTCTAAACCTGAAGATAAGATAATAACTGGACAAAGATTCTGTGTTTAAAGAGGAACATCTCTAGACTGAAGAGGCAGATGGGAGTGGAACAAACGGAAATGCTTGCTGAAATCTGGCTTGGCCTCACTTCAGCTAATATTAAGTAAACTTGCTAGAAAAGATTTCAGGTTCAACCTGGCTTTTAATTAGTATGCTGTTTACATCATCTATTATGAGGCTTTACTTTGGATTTGACCCTGCTCCTGCTGCAGTCAACAGCAAAAACACCACTAACATCAGTGGGAGCAGGATCAATGCTTTACTTTGTACATTTCATATTTAATGTCAGAAGAAGAAACTGGTATTTGTGGTTTGTAGTTATTAGTTATCAGGTTAATATGCTAAAGGCAGCTTGACAGGGAATACTATTAATGAGCAAAATAAGGTTGCTGCTTCTGGACTGAGGTCACTTACAAAGAATGTACAAATGAAAATAAGGTTGACTTTTATTTACTTAACTATCTTCCTACATTGAATTCCTTTGGCAACGTGTCTTTAAACATTTAAAGCCCTGTTTACAAGGAGGCTCTGAAAGTAGCTTCAAACCATTATATCCCTAATTGAATTCCCCAGGAGTCCTGTAAACTCAGAGGAAAAAAGAAAGAAATCATAACATTTGCTAAATCATCTCAAAACATATTTCACTGCAAGGTTATGTGACCTGTTACAAGTCTGAATGATGACTTGGATTGAACTACTGAAACCTTTTATTATTCAGATTGAAATCAAACAAAAAGTTGCCCATTTGAAGCCTGCTAATTAAATTATACTTCCTCTGACTTTTATCACTAATTAAGAGTAAGAATTTTGGCACAAAAGACAAGTATACTGAAGATAACAGAATTAAAGACACATAGCTTTAGTATAATGACATGGGGCAGACCAGATGCAAATTATGAGGCAGGTTGGCCAATATATTTAGAGCAAATGATTTTGTGGGAAATAAAGGTAAAAAAAAAAATCATAATATTCAATAGCCAATATTCCATCCACCCCCTTCAAACCAGAAGTTTTTTTTCAAGTGGAGTTGCAAAAATCCACATCATTTCCAACCAACTATGCATGTTGTGTAACATCACCTATATGAGATAGATCACACAAGAAGCTACAGTTAATATCTTAAAATGTTAAATACCTTCACATCCCTGTCAGCTTACCTGGCTTGTAAGTTATTCCTGGGGGGAAGAGGAATCCCTGCTGGGCTGCAGCAGCCGCTGCCAGTGTCCGCTGGTCGTGTGGAAAAATTGGGATCATGAGCGGAGGCATGTGACCCTGAACCTGCTAAACAGAAGAGAGCCTCTGATCAGAAATAGCACAAATTTGTCTTGACAGGTATTTCTCCAGTACTGATAGTGTTCTTGTGTTCACACAGTCCCGCGGAACCTTTGCCTTAATGTAATCCCTGCCAATTTCACATTATCACATCAAAGCCCTCACTAACATTGTTTTTCCTCAATGTCAAAGGTGTAAAAGTCTCAGTGAACTGCACATTTTCCTACTTCTTCCTAGTTCTCTTTTTTTTTTTTTTTTAATTAATATTCCCTGTTCTGGCACAAGGTAAAAAGATACAGAACCTTTCTAACATACCATAGGTTCTTTAAAAAGAAGAGTGGTACAAATTTCTATTAATTTTTCACAAGTTGTCTCATCTGGTCACAGACAGCAAAGTGACAAACATTTTAGAAATAACCTAACACTGAAGTAGCTACATTGATGTTCAAATTTTAGTATCCTTAGGGTAATTTTAATTCTGAGATCTTGCAACACTGTATTGTTCCTACACCAACTATACCAACAAGTCAGGTATGTTATTTCTAAATCTCATCACAGCATTAAACAGTCTTCTAGTCAACACCCCAGCTCTTAAGATTTAAGACTCCAACATCTTGTCTCCCAATTAAACTAACATCCTTTGCCATACGTACCTCACTATAACATATAAACTGCTCATCTGCCTAAGCAGTTTTACAGCTTTACACACTATCCTGTAGCTTGGTAATTATGGAGTTGTATTCAGACACCATTTCAGAATAAAACCTACTGTATCAAATTTAATTTGACCTTAATAAATTTATCAAAAAGCACAAACATGCATCTTCACTTTATACCAGCATTTGTACTCAACATATAGAAAACGGGAGATGTGATGGAGTCATGTCTGTTAAATCCACATATTAATTTCCTAGTTGTTTAATTTATGCTACATGTGTTTCAGAGACAGTGGATAGGATCACAAGGAGATTTTATCCATCATTCCTTAACCCCAGAAGTACCCAACGGTTTGACTATGATTTTTCTGATTAGTAGTTAAGCAAACATATAATGGCTTATATATCAAAGCTAGTAAATGTAGGAAGAAATTGGGGTTTTGGGTAGGAAAAAAATTTTGCCCTCATCCTACCATAAATTGGTGGCATTAAATACCATTAAAAAGTTAAAGTACACTTCAAGCAATTTTTTTTTTCATTTAATTCCTAAAAAACTTTTTTGGTCAAATCCCATATGTTGACCTATGACATTGTTTAAATAGTGCCAAATTTTCTTGTCATATCCCCATTACTTTCACAAGCACTGATGCAGTGCAGAAATGCTACTGTGTGTGTCTATGAGGGTTAATTTACCAACAACTCTTCTCTTGGGAAAGCCCTAAGATGTAGGTTAATAAAGGTCAAGCAAAAAATAAACACTTTACAGTATTTTTTTGAATCCATTTCTCAGGAAAATCAACTTATAATAAAAAGGTCTTTGTGCAATTACTACTATGGCACTGGGGCGTGAAAGAAACTAGCTTTGAGCAGCTATTTCTCTCATTTTCGCTGAGGTAAGCCTGGCTGTGCATTTTAGGATATGAGTTAAACTTGGTTAGATTGGAGTTGATCCCCATGTGTCCAGCACAGGCATTTACCTCTGATAAAATGGTGTTAGTTTTGCTGTGTGGTGTTCCTTTACACTGGCTCTACAGGAGTACAGCAGATGAAAACCACAGGCTTTGTCTGATAGAAACAACTGTAGGATATATTGGAAGGAATTCAACACAGTACAACTTAACAACCGTTTTCAGTATTTCCCAATTACAGTCTAATCAAATGGACCCAACGCTTAAGAAATATCCCTTTCAATCACCACACACAGAAAGTATTTCCAGGGGGTTGCAAAGGTACAAGACACCAACACAACCTCAGAAAACACAGAAGAGATCGGAGCGTGCACTGTAGTTAGCATGCTCGTGAGTACATACCCACAGCAATACTTTGCACCCTAGTGTCATAAAAATAATTTGAAATGTATAATAACCAAATCCTATAAAGGTTATTCCCCAGTGCAATCCTGTAGAGTTGGATCCAGTCCACCATATCCAAAGAGATTTTCTTTACAAAACTCTCAAATAAAAGCAATTATGTAAATGTGGAGAATTACCATTGCATGTTCTGGCTATTTGCTATTCTTCCTTAAAATACTACTTTGAATGCTGGATCAGGTCCTCAGCCTATATAAATCAATGTAACTTTGGCTAAAGGTGGCTTAATTTAAGGGAGTAAATTTTGAGTTTACACTTAAGACAGTTATACAGACTGAAAAAAGCCAATACTGAATGGCAATCATTCCCTCGCATGAGTCTTCCCTCTGGCACATACTAAATGTTATTCCTAGGTGAATGTTGGTTTCACCCAGAATTATCATATTCATTGGTGTCTATTTTCAGCACAGGTCAACTGAAAATCACAAATAAGCATTAGAAAGGAAGAGAATGTACAAGTATCACTGATCCCTGAATTATTAAAGATGTAAAATTAATGCCAAAAAAACAGTAGACACCTTAATTTTTTTTTTTTTTTTAAGGTTTTCTTTTTGTTTTATTGAGGGAGGAGAAATTTGGAGGAGGGGTTGACTGGTGTACTTCATAAAATCGGCTACATGCCCAGAAATTTTAATTGCTGAGATGTTTCTCAGGTCTTTCTGAAAACCAAGACTGTAGCAGATGCCCGAGAAACACCCCGACTCTGTCTCTTCCCATTCGTAAAAATAGCGTATTGTTGGATCGGCACTTTCCCCTTTTGTCTCCTCTGTGCTAGGTTGTTGATGATGCCATTTTTTGCCATCTGCCCCAGAGCTTCATTAAAGATACATGAATGGGCTAACTGGGCTGCTATCTTGTGAGGAACAGGTGCTATTGTTTGTCCCTGAAGACTTGCACTAAAGATCTCACTCAGAATACTTGAGAAAGAGCATCTGCAGCAGTCAGTCAGAGAGTAACTTGGCAGAGCCCATACTATGGGCTAATATGCAAACAGTGACACTCAGGGGGACTCATTTTCTCTTTCATGAAGATTTTTTTTTTTCTTTTGACGGGTAGTAAATGTTTGGTTTTGAACAATTGTGCCAGTCTATATCTTTAGCTGAACTGTACAAACCCTGGAGGAAACCTGAGTATGTTCTTTCCAAAATTCATTTCTGCAACCTTCAGTAAAATCATCTCTTATATAAAGCTACCTCATAAAATTAATCCTCGTTTCTATACAATAAGCTCAGGTTTAACTGTGTTAAACATGAGAAGCCACCAGGATTAGGAAACTCTCAAAAGGTAGTGTACCATTCCTTTAATATCCCATCACAACTCTGATGGCCCTTGGGAACTGATTACAGCACTTCCTTGCCTGAGATCTAAGTCAGGAAGCAACTTTAGAGTAAATCAGCCCTGATTAGTTCAAGAAGCAACTTCCAATTTGATTCTCCCTGAAATAATAAAAGCTGGTGGCCTGTTTGATAAACTGGGCAAATCTGCAATGCTTTGTCCCACAGTCATGTGAACGCTAATCTCAGAAGCTGGCTGGACAATCCTCCTTGTTAAAAAGTATTGTGCACGGAAAATGAAAGCTAAAGTGATATGTCATACAAAAATAATGCCTTGAATGCAAATGATCTGCCTCTTTCGGATAAAGAACACAGCATATTTAGTGAGACTAAGGAAGAGGAAGGGTTCTGTCTTTATAAACGAAAGCTGCCTTTACAACAACTAACACTGCAGCTAGAGAAGCATAGACATTCAGAGAAAAGGATGGCAGCAGTGCAAGCAAAAACGCAGCTCACACATTTCTGCTTAGCTGCGAGGATCACAGGTTTCAAGAGCAGAAGTAAAACCTACCCTATAATGGCAGCTGAATTCCTTGCAAACTTTTCAAGACCAAAATTGACAAGTTGCCTCTGTTGCATTTCTGTTTACTTCAGTAAAGGGAGGATTAAGCGCCATCTTTTTAAGAGATAGTAAGGACAATCTTTACAATATTTTATCCCTTCCTTAAAGCTTGTTTTTCATTACAGTCAGCACTAGTATATAACAGTGTGATAGGCTAAATAGGCTCTAATTGCCTAGAATAATCCAACATCACTATTTAAAACCATTGCCCTCCACCTTCTTCCACCAATAAAATCTCTGGACACTCTTCTCAACTCGTAGAAATCTTGAGATTTGTACTGAATTTAACAAACTACTCCAATGCATGTTAGCTGAGAAACTAATCTTCAAATTTATTGAATTGACTTTTTTTTTTTTTTTCTTTAGTATAGGATGTACAGTACCTTTTATCCTTGTGACATTGCATCCTCTGTGAGAACCTAATTCATTCACAGGCAGATTTAAAATTTTTATAGTTTAAACTTTAATGTCTACCTAAGATTTTTTAACTTCTTGAATAATTCTTATAGCCAGACTACAACTTTAACCTGTCTGTGTAGTCATTAAGTTTTTAATTTCCATAGTAAAAATGTGTTTGAAATTTTCTACTCACTCATTTAGAAACTACAGTGTAATAGAAGTTCCCAGGTAACGGCAGTGTATCAAGTAAGAACGTGAATTTTCAGAATGTTCAAAATACCTGTTTATATGGTAGAACAAAGTGACTATAACTGATAGCTCAACAGGTTACTTTTTAGGTTGAATCATTTAAAAAATCTTAATGGCACTGAAAACAGTGTTTGTGTCCCTGGTACTACTAGTGCAAATTTTTAAATACCCTGTGTGTTATATGTACTGACCTCATCTGCATTTTAAATAGTGTGTATACAATACATGGCACTATTACTTTTATACCACCGCTGGAATTTTTTTATTTCAAGAACTATTGTTGGGTTTTGTTGTTCTTTGTAAGATAAGAAATATAAGAAGCTTTGTTAATTTGAATTTTATTCCGATTAGGTCATCTTGGTGACTGCAAGAAAGCAAACACTATGTTACATAATGTAGTAGGGACTTCTATGAAAATTTATTTTTGTGAGAGTCAGTA